ACAGTGTTCTAGGCGCCGACGTTTTTCCCTACGGTATTATAGGCGCCATTAACTCCCATACGGTAAGGCCCCCCATGCCTCTGGGCATTAACAGTGTTGTGGGTGTTGGCTTTTACCGTACCAGGAGAACATGTTAAAACTCCTCACATGCCTCTGGGCATCAACAGTATAGCAGGTACCCATCTGCCATACCTGAACCATACGACGTAACCTCCCACGTGCATCTGACATCCAACAGTGTTGTGGGCGTCTACCATCATCCTGTACCCGCCGGCATGGGTAACAAGGATTAGAAGTATACGTACTCTCTCTCTCACTTGTAAGGCCATCCCCTTCATCTATAAAAGGGGATGCGCTTTCTCCCAACAAAGAGATTCAAAGTCATTCCAGATTCATTAGATCAATCAAGTTCACTAGTACAGAACCGTCAGATTCGAACCACGAGCACACGCTCGAACACCTAGTTCATAGCGGGGCTCCCGTCACTCTCGGCCCTTCCGGCAGGAGTCCGACCGTCCTTCTCCTTCTCGTTTGTAACCCCACTGGAAACTTCGAGCACCTAGGCTCAGGAATAAAGTCACCGACCGACTCAAACTGGACGTAGGGCACATTGCCTGAACAAGTATAAACCCTATGTCATTGAGTGCTAGGCCACCTCCGATCACAACGTATGGCAAAACTACAAATATCTACTTGTTGGTCACTTTCTGCACCGACAAAAGTGGACTAATTGTTTTTGACTTCATATGATTGTCTGCTACTTTGTACAGATTGGTGTGACTAAATATATAAATGGACCCCATGTTGAAAGTCAGATTCTAAAATTAAAACATCGCATTCACACCATAAAATTTTAGTAAAAATAATTGAATGTTTTTGGAAAGATAACCCAGTACAATCGCTCGTTACTTTGTGCAGATTGATGTGACTACATATACATGTGGGTCCCACGTCATAAATTTAAAAATATACATTAAAGCGTAATCTACCTCTGAAGTAGTCAAGTCCAGGTAAATCCAATAGATACTACACTTTTTGAGTAAATGTCTATTGGATGTTGGATTTTGGTTGAATCAAATGATTGTGGACGTCCAAATCCATATAGATCTCATCCAAATGCACCCAAAGCAAATTGTCCAACTGGATTTTGGATTATCCAAATCTATTGCCACCTCTACTATAAGAGACTACAATAAGTCATAAATTAATGCAGATAAGTAAATGAAGCGCAAAAGACAAACAAGCAATGCAGGAGGATGAGAACAATATGACTAGCTAAAACAAATGGAAGAATAATTGGACTCTCCTTTAGTTTGTTCCAAACGTTGTTGAATAACGTTATATATATAGCTACTAGAATGCACGGTTAATCCAAAAGCTCAACAGTTCTATTAACTGAAAAAGTAGAAGCATAAACACTATAGAAGAAAATATAAACCAGAATGACACTGAGACGTGATATTCTTTTAATGAGGTTTGGCCACCTAACTATGGCATGGCTACGGACGCTCATCGGAGCTTCACATAAATAGTACCTACACCGGCATTCGAGCAATTCCTCAGCCTCGTTGCCGCCCTAACAAGCTGTCATCTCATGGTTATAACAAGGTTGGGCTCATCTTTATGGCACCCTAGGAATAGAGTTGGACTCAAACTCTATCCTAACCCCTAATACAACTCAAAATCAGTTGCAACTAAACTATAAGTGTATTGGATGAATATCTAACAAAATCCACATTGGCAAATATGTGTGTCACCTTGAAGCCGTGGCTTCACAAACCTTTGTGTACACAAACTTGAGTTGTCTCCTCTGCCACTCACTTCAAACAGAGGCTGATCCTAAAGTCGTACCATCACCACGATACATAGAACACTAGCATAGTTATATTACAATCCATGATTACACATTTGACAATGCATCCCTTTAGATTGTATTGGTGTGCACTTGACTTCTCATCGACCATGACCATCTTGCCATCATACATAACTACCAAGGTTTTCATACCTCCAAGCTATCCATTCTCTTGCGAACCAAGAGTTGTACACACGGGGCTTATAATCTTGTGGATGACATCAACCGTGTTTGTGTTGTGCCCACTGGTGTATTATGAGGGATGAGAGACCCTCGGCGGTTTTGCCAAAGCTCTCCATAGACGACGTGGGAGCAGTTCAGAAGATGCCACAAGGAGGCCCACTTGAGATGTTGCAAGTGGGGATGGCTTGTGGGCTATCCACGAACTTATCGGATAAAGAGATTGGTTGTGCGAGGGCATCCCTGCAAGGGGCTCTAGCGAGGACTAGTATAATAATCTTGATGACAGTGAGATATATGTTATGTGTATTAGTAATATCAAATGTAAAACATTAGATCATAACCTCTATTTAAATTTAATAATAAAATATATCAACAAAAAGTTAGGAAATGAATGTCAATACCTGGTTGATGCCACTGACCTGGCAGTGATCCTTATGACATTATCCTACCACAGGAACCAGTAGTGATTGATAAAGCCACTATTGATTACCCTCTGTCGGGTTTTTTTATTTCGGTTGTGACACTAGGTTTGGATCCGGCAGTAATCCACGACTACCCAATGGCGGAACCAGCAATTTTGATGAAGGGGGACAATACAAATATAATGACACCTCTAAGTATGATAAATAAATATATACATAAGTGTATGTATCAACAACTTTTTCACTGTTTCTACACATGTACTTAGTGTTCATAACGAAAAATCATAATATTAAGATAAAAACTGAGTGAATTGATGTCTTGATGTGTTGTATATTGAAATATTTATAGGGGTATTAAAACAAATTTCCACTGCATTGGGGATGACAACGGCCCTGTTGGCCCCCCTGGTTCCGCCACTGTCTACGACCAAATTATTCTTCACTTCCATTCTGAACAATAGAGGCAATATTTTCTTATGGCCTATGCTTATTAAACGAGTCAATTCCCTCAATGCCATTGGAAATTTTACCTCTTCTCTTATTGCTATCGAAATTTTTGAACTTCCTTCACTGCCATCGGAATAATTTACACTTCCCTCATTGCCATTTCCATCAAAATCTGTTAATTTAGCTGTTAAGTTGATTTGAAAATGACCATTTTGCCCCTCCCAAATAAATGGTGTTAGGGAAAAAATTTCCAAATGGCATGAAGATGATTTTTATATTGTTTCTCTTAAACCAAATTGATTTCAGTCCAAGATGGTATGGTTGTGTGAGGTTAATTTTTAATCCCTCCTTTTCGCCTTGGAAAAATTTGGTCCATGTTAAATTTTTATTTGTTTCATCTCCATGGGATCAAAATTTGCTCCCCTATTATTTTTCAATTCTTTCATGATTCTCATAATGTTATTTTTCTAAAAAAAAATCATTGTTCCATTTAGTGCGGCAAAATAGGTTAAATTCGACATGTTGTTCCTAATCGAAGCAAAGCACTTGTCTACTAATCCAATCACTTGCTTGGGAGGAGCAAAAGTGTATATTATCTTAACACCAAACTTAACGTACTCTCTTATTCCGATGGGCATCTTTCAAAAATGCATCCACTTAAGCCTTAAAATTTCCAATGGCACTGAGGGAATTGGCTCTTAAACCAACATGATTTCAGTCCAAGTAGGTATGGTTGTGTGAGGGTTAATTTTGTCCCACCTTTTCGATTTGGTCCATGTTAAATTTTTATTTGTTTCATTCCACAAAATTTGCTCCCCTGTTATTTTTCAATTCTTTCATGATTCTCAGAATGTTATTTTTTTTTAAAAAAAAATCATTGTTCCATTTTGTGCAAGTGCCTCAATTTGCAAGCAATAAACAAGTATATTATCTGCCCCACTTGCCAAACAAGGCATCAAGAGGCACTCCGTACTCTCATGTATGGGCATCTTTGAATGCATCCACTTACAGTGCAACAACTACATGCAGCCGCAGCATAGCCTATCGTAGCTTTGTTTGTTGTCAGCCTGGTCATAGGAGTTCATCACTTATCTGGTCATGCACACAGGGCATATTTGGTTGGCGGCCTTTCAGGTAGGATCCTCGCCGAGCATCAATCTTGGCCTCCATGCACCCGAAGTCGATGGTCTGGATCTGCTGCTTGGCCAGACAACCTTGACTGACGGTAGAACAAAACAAGCCCACAGTGCGTGCACCTGTGTGGCATAAGAACTTACAGAGGATGATACATAACGGACCTGCTGAGCGGCTGAGCCCAGCTCAGGAGAAAATGCTGTCATGCTAACAAATCCTGTGACATCCACTGCTTTACTTCTGGCTTCAACCCAGACGAGTGCGGCAGGGACTTGAGGTATGGATGCAGCCAAAAAGACCATTCAATCCAACGTCTGCGATGTCAGATGATCATCTTCACAGATTGCCCTAGGATCCATACCCATACCATCACTTCATGCCTTGGTGGACTTTTTCCAATTTGAGCCCTTTTATTTAGTAAAATTGATATCTTTTCTTAGCTAGTGACGCATCTCAGGTGATGAGCGTAGGACCCGTCACTTTAGTGAGTTAATTACAGTCTGTTAGTATTAAGCTTTTTCTTTGCAGTGGTTTGTACAACAATAAACAATCATATGAAATTATGTTTAATTGAATTCCATATATATGTCTGTGAACATAAAACCAAGTGTTTGTCATGCTAAAAATAAGTACTCAACAAGTCTAGCCGCACTATATGCGCAGGTAATCTTGCTAGTTAAGAAACATTGGAAAGCAAGCTGAAAAGGAAACTCAACATGGAATCAAACAGCAAAATAAAACAGAAGAAGACTTTAAATTCATCTGCGATCCTTGTTTGAAGTAGATTGACGGTATAGCAGTCAAAAAACTAATCTCCCACAGCTGTGGCTGGAACACAACATGGTTTCTGCTTAAAATTAATATACCATGGATGGAAAGAATTTACAGATGAATGATGAGACAGATGACAACAAAGGGGTGTCATTACAAGATAGCTAAGGCATATGGGACAAACTGAAGCCTCACCGGGGGCTCAACGATCCTTCTGACCAGGCAGAAGGACTGTCAGGAAGAACCCATTCTCTGTAGTGTCGGTATCCTGGAATGATAGGACTCCGTTCTTCATGCATGTCGGTGTCCGCTGGTTTGGCAGAAGGGCTGGGACTGGGAGCAGGAACCGATGACCTGGCAGAAGAACTGTTAGGTAGAACCCATCGTCGGTGTCTTGGCATGAGAGGACTCTGTTCTTCATCCAAGTGGGTGTCCACAATTTTGGTAGAAGGGCAGGAAGCAGGTCTCCATTTGTCGTAGGATTCAGTGTACATTGGCTTCTTTGGGGTCGGCAGCTCTTTCTTGCCACTGAGCATCTGAAGAACATCCGCCATGGTGGGCCGGTCTGTCCGGTCCTGCTGAACACACAGAAGTCCCACCTGGACGTGCCTTCTAATCTCCATTAGCTGGCGCTCCTTAAACACTACCGGATCAAACTCCTCGTCTATTCGTCCAGCTTCCCAAGCCGTCCAACCCTGACATGCATGTGAGATAAACACATTTGCAACATTTTAATGTCTCAGAGGCTGTCTATCTTGTTATGCATTTACACGAAATTCTTTGGTAACTTAACAAACAACCATATTATAATATGGTGTCTTTTTAGTTCTCTTCTTAGTAATTTCGTATGCTCTTAATTTGTACGTGGACAAAATGGATGTTATATATGAGTAGCATGACAACAACTAATACAATGTGAAGAAGTTGTCTTAATAATGTTAAATTTGGGGTCGATGGTTTGCAAGACAACAACCTCTCTCTCTCTCTCTCTCTCTCTCTATCTATATATATATATATATATATATCTATCTATCTCTCCTATCAGCTCTCTCCTCCATGCCATTCAAAACTCCATATGGCAATATTTATAAGATCTATTGTAAGGCAGCCATTGTATATATCATTGTATATTTTTTTCTTTGCGGATAATAACTGATCATATTGCAGTGACTGTAAATATTTACCCATCGATGCAAAGGAAATTCACTACGTCTGCGGATACCACTGATAGCCTCCAGGAGGGTGACGCCAAAAGCATACACATCGCTCTTCTTTGAAATAATACCATCTGCTGTGTGCTCTGGAGCTATATATGGACTGGATGATTAAGAAAACAAGAAAGACATCAAGAAAGATATATATAAGGAACAGAAGGGATAAACAGAATATGGATAAGGAAAACGAACGGGCTAAAAGAATACATGTGCCAGGTATTGATATGAACAGAAATATTAATGTAGAATGACTTCTTACAATGTGCCTGATATCTTGTTGTGGTCGCTCGTGATCTCGGTATCATCTTGGCGGTTGTGACTGGAATGCACTACAGACCTTGTAAGGGTTTGGTACATTTTTCGCAGAATATTGGTATCACTCAACACTTTAGATAGTTCAAAATCAGTAATCACAGGATTCATCTCTGAATCCAAGAGGATGTTGTCTGGTTTCAGATCCAAATGGACAATGTGTTGCTTATGTAGGTAATGTACACCCTGAGCTATCCCCTCTATTATCCACATTAGGGAACGCCAACGGTCAAGTAGCTGGGGTCCTGCATAATATATAGGCATCTATAGAACAACGTCAATTAGGAGAAAAGTCCTTTTTTAGATACAAATGAAATGGCACTGTATTTCAAATTTTGAGTAGTACAGACCCCTTACATCATGAGCACAGGAAGATATGCTAAAATAACATAGAAATTGCATCCAAGTTCTTAACTCACCCTCTCTCATCTCCAATCTCCTAAGTTGCCTCACGGGGCTAAAGGTTCAACATTGAATCTATTCTCCACCCCCTACCTAGAAATACCACCCACCATCGCCACCATGGCACCAGCAAGACAAGAATCGAAAACCAAACCCTCACCAAGGGACGACAAAAATTTCCTCCCCCTCACAAATAGATATGCAAACCCGTACAAGCTTTCTTAAAATCTCATCAAAGGCGTGGATCTGATCCGCTAATTAAACAAAAAAATGGAAAGTTGAAGCCCTGCTTGATTGCCACATCGAAGAAGCCACCAACCAAATAGAAATAATGTGAATAATGAACATACAAAACTACATGATCTAGGCGTTCAGAGGGCAGGTCCCTGATCCTTCTCACCACCGTGAGGTCATTAGATCAGGAAGACGATGGGTATCAATGCGTGGGGTTGAAGGACCTGAGAGATGTGGCCTTTTGCCATAAGCTATTGCTGCTAACACCAAAACGTTGTGTAGGTATATCTTAATAACGATATGACTGCTATTAAGCTACTTCAATGGTAACATACCTTCTCCATAAACAAAATTGCGCAAGGTTCCCTTTGGCATGTATTCTTCGATCAAATATATATATTGTTGTTGCTATTTTCACCAATTCTGCATTCTGTTTATCCTAGAAAATTCACTATATTTTTATGCTGAAGCTTTGAAGCAAGAACAAATACATTGTAATTGTGTGCCCATCCCAAGGAAGAATTATGAAAAATCTTGACGGCAACCACGTTCCCATCCTCCAGCACACCCTAAAAAGTTGTAGCACCAGGTATATGATTGATTCATGTTATTAAAAACAACAACAACACAATTATGCATATACTAATAAATGATAACACTTACTATAAGACCAAGTACAAGCTCAAGTACAACCTGCTGCATCTACGACACTCATTTTAGTAATGAGCTTCCATCCAAGTGATTTTAACCATTATTGGTTGCATCCAAGTAATTAGACTACACCAGTATACCGGGATCTGATTTTCCTCAATGATCCAGAAAACCAGATGTTTAAAATCGCCTACTTTATCACCCTGAGCAGTTTCAATAGTGGTTTTATCTACCATAGTGTCAATAGTATTTTCCAAAATGCTAAGCAGTAAGTAGTCGGTCACCTGGCATTTAGCCATTATTCGGGATAAATGAGCTAAACAGCTAGCTAAATGGGATAAATGGTCGAACAAATCGAAACAGCGTACCACTTTGTAGCGTTTACACAATGTCACCTCTTCACGCTGGATCATCCTCCAATGAAGGAAGTAAAGTAGTGTATCATCTAGTGCTATACATAGGCGTGTCATAGGTCCAAGTCTTTGTTGAGTAGGGTCGCCATGTTGTCCACCGGGTGCAATATGAAGAGTAGTGTATTATCTAGTGTTGTGGGACCTAGTGTTAATGGCTAAGGAACGAATGGCTGACAACATTCGAATACCCCAGCGAATGATCAGGTGTAGGGTTTTGGAGCTACCGGATCATTTTTGGTGCACACAACTTCTATACGTTTTTTCCCACTGGCTAGTCGCTTTTAGGAGGCTAGATATGCCCTTGGCCGGCCACATTGAGGCTGCTAGAAATTAAGGCAAGTGACTCTATTACACTCCATCCATCTCAAAGCTCACATTAATCACATCCTAGGCATAGAATAGCACTTATTAGTGTTCATCTTTCTGAGATCTAGGCCTTGTAACTTGAGAGCTCGAGTGTATGGCTTAGTGCCCTTGTAACCTCGGTGGTGCCTGAGTACTTGGAGTCTTGGGGACTCTCTAGCATTGTCAGTAACCCTCCAAGCACGGTGTGGAGAGGCGCTGACTTGGACGTATACTAGAGGATGTGTTTTGGCAACTGATATATGCCACAGATAAAAATCCTTGTCTCGGGACTTTGCTCTGTCTATCTCATCCTATTTTTTGTTGTGTTTATGCTTTCACTTGTGTTACCTTTACCTTTGTAAAATAGTTTAGGCTAGTTATGTAATAATGCCCTATATAAAATTAGTAAATTACTAAGTTAGTATTAGATGGGAAAGTGGGGTAAACAATGAAATAACATAAGCCCTATTAGAGTACGCTTAGGGAAGTCACAAGGAGTCAACCCTACTATAACGTATCATGCTTCAGGAGCTGTTTCGTTTCTTCAATTATTTCAGCTTCGAAATAAGTCAGTGGCAGCACTGCACAACCTCAAGACCCAGTTGTGATTCCCTAGTGCTATGTCCTTGCCAATCTATGTGAAGAGATACATATCGCTTACAACATGACAAGTCTTTGAAAGTATAACTTTAACAATATTTTTCTTACACTATATTTTAATGGTACAAAAGTTGTATGATATTAATAAAAAAGGTACGTAGAATACATCTTCAAAATGAGGGAGTAACGAAGAATAGGAGATAGATCGATACATCACAAACGGTTTATATATGTTAAAAGTGACTGTGGTATTAGCTCTCACTAAAGATGGTTCTAGACATTGACCTTATTAGCTCTAATTGTTTGTCATTCACTTATTAACTTATCGCATACAGTTTTCAAGCTGTCAGCGATAGTCCACCAAACATATAGTGTCATCATTTAAAGGTGGTTATTGGCAATAATCATCTAAACAACTCTAGACAAAATTAGAGTATCAAGTATATGGAGTACCTTGTAGACTGTGCTAGAGCCACCTCGACCAATGATGTTGCTGTCTGAGTATCCATTTGTGGCTGTCCATACTTCAGTAGACCCAAATTTTCTTAAGGTTGCTGAGGAACCAACACACATACCACCAAGGTTAGTTAGAATTTAGGTTATTCAACTGTGAACATTTTCCATAATATTCATTCGTTTTTTTATGCAGAAATTGGAAAACATTTATAACATTGAAATTTCCATTAGAGGCCCCATGTGGCCCTACATGGACACTTACACTAAATGAGGGCAAACAGGACATGAGGCCCATACAACCGACTCATCTATAATAAGTGTCCCCCAACCCATCCCCCCAATCCCCTAGCCTCCGGAGATATAGAGACACCAGGCAACATCTTTGCGTGTTTTATGTATGTTCTATATATTCCTTTAAGCTACTGATTTTACTTTGCATGGATCATTGCCCTGTTCGCTTGGCTGATAAGCCATGGCTGAAAGTACTGTTGGCTGATTTGTTGTGAGAGAAAAATACTATTCGTTGGCTGAAAAAGTACAGCTGAAAAAGTAATCTTACCTACAATGGAAATAGTCTGCTCGCTTCCTCCAGGTTCAATGCTTTGCTCATCGTACAGTTCAGATCTGCAATTACCATTGTCCAGAGAAAACAGCTTCCTTTTTATGTGGGAAAAGATAAAACAGAGATTTTGGAAGGTGCTTGCTGAATAGTTAGCTCGTTAACTTTACATCCATTTGGAAATACGATAGGAAGATAATGTCTACATCATCCTCATCCGAGTTATATTACACAAATTGCTTAAAATGTTATTTGAAATAATTGCAGTGTAATTAGCTTAAACTTTGATGGGGCGGCATGTGACACATTTTATTTGAATATGATTACACCCTTATATTAAATAAATAGCCCACTCCTATTCAACGTTTTCGACCTACAAGAATCTACACATGAGAAGTATAGAATATAAGATAATTGCTCGCTGCTTTCCTATATAAGCTTTTTTTTGACTGTCTTCGTAACTACTAAATACACACAGATGGTCTCTGAAAATCACTAGCCATTTTTGGATTGTCTCCTAACATTTGTAGTATGTAGTGTGTACCATGTTAGTACTTGGTAGTAGTGATAACACCGCTATTAACATGCCAATATGCTTTACTTCAGTTTCTTGGATCTTATATAGTGCCAACAAATAGAGGTATACTTGCACCGTAAACATCTGACCTAGCATCATTAGCTGAATGACTGTTATGCGATATCTCCACAATTCCAGCTGTATCCTGAAATGGAAAATAATATGCTTATGGTATCACGATGAAGTCTCTACTGTAAGCCAATTTTCTTAGAGCTGTCACTACTACAGAAATGAGATCTAGTCCCGGTTGGGAACTAGCTCTACTCCCGGTTTCCCAACCGGGACTAGCAATCCGGGACTAAAGGTGTTGTTCTTTAGTCCCGGTTTGCCACAACCGGGACTAAAGATCCTCCTAGCTTTAAATGGTTTCCCAACCGGGACTAGCAATCCGGGATTAAAGGTGTTGTTCTTTAGTCCCGGTTTGCCACAACCGGGACTAAAGATCCTCCTAGCTTTAAAAAAAATAAAGTCTCCTACCGCTGCACCCCGTGAGATTCGAACCCAAGACCTCATGCACTGCTTCGCGCGTAGCTTACCACCCCACCTACACAACACATCTAACAATGGATGGGATGCTTTCCTTTTGAACTAACCTATCGGGAGACCTTACCAACCGGGACGAAAGGGTCTACCTTTAGTCTGGGTTGGTATTACCAACCGGGATTAAAGGTTGGAGGACTTTTAGTCCCGGTTGGTGGCTCCAACCGGGAGTAAAGGTCCACCTTTAGTCCCGGTTGATGTCTCCAACCGGGACTAAAGGTCCCCTGCCATTGTGCCGAGCGCAGTAGCCGTTGGGCAGGGACCTTTAGTCCCGGTTGGAGACACCAACCGGAACTAAAGGCCTCTCTAGTCCCGGGGAAAAAAATGCCGAGGCTAAAGTCAAATTGGGACATCGTTCTAAAGTCTGTTCTATAGTAGTGTGTATATGTAACAAAATAAAAATGTAATCGTGAGCACACCTAGAGATTCAACAAGTCATTAGCTATGTATTTCCATTGAACTATGTTGGTTTATATACTTTTTATGTTAAACCCCATTCTCCTCCCCAACTCCTCATCCGCCAAAGGTGAAGTTAGGATTTGGTGCCAGGTTGTAAGGTTCAGGTCTCACCAAAATCCGACTACCTTAGAAGCAAGAGGGAAAGGCAGCAGCAGAACGAAGGGCTAGATCAGCTACAATGGTGAGAGGTGGTTCGGTTTGTTTGGGAGGGTTTGAGTGTGTGTGTGGGACACACGTCGATAGCGATATTGATGGTGGAACCACTAGAAGAATTTTCTCCTTTTCTTTTACCAGTTTTTACAAGTGGCCTAGAATTTTAGAACCTAACAATGATGGATTTTTTTTTTAAAAACTAACAACATAATCCTTAAAAAATTATTGCACTTAGTTGTGAAGTTAAATTTATGCAATTACTCCGTATTAAGCACTAACAAAGAAACCGTCTAAAAAAAGATTATTAATAATCTTGTATAGTGGGTGGTGGCCTGGTGGGGACGGAGTGTCATCCGCAGCAGCAGTTAGCCAACATGAATAAGATGTAAACAGTTGAAACGAGAATGGTATCGTTAAGGTTCCAGGACTCCGCCCGAAATTAATGAACTTCGGTGAAATTCACCCATTTCGGTGTTGTCTGAATGAAACAACATCATACCAGTCAAAAAATTCAGTTAAATTCATTTTTTTTTGTTAAAGTGATAGTTCAAACATGACTACAAGTTCTTATTTCAATATAGAAGCCCAAACTTTTCAACCTGTAAATCAGTGGTTTCAGATTCATGCCTATTGATCAAATTTTGGCTAAAATTCAATCAAATATTAACTAAATCTGAACATTTTGACTGGTCAAAACAAGTCAATCATATTTTAAAATTTCCGAGATTCGTCCATTTCAAATTTTTGGATGATTTGAATCCCACAACTCTTCCGTACCTGTTGCAGCCGAGGCAGAAGGTAACCACCGGTCTGCATAGTTAGCAGCAAGACGGTGGTGTGAGCGTTGATGGCGAAGGACGCGAGCATGACCTTGTTGAGGATGTCCTCCTTCACCGCGCGCAGCTGCCTCGACAGGTCCCCCGCCGTCAGGAGCCGGCGGACGACGCCGGTCCGCTCCTGGCACGCCGCGACGAGCTCCAGCGCGCCGCCCATGGCCGGGCTGTCGTCCACCGCGCCAGCCCGCTGCAGCTGCGAGAGCACGGCGCTGAACCTGAGCACGCGCCTCCGGATCTCCTGGCACACCGCCGCGTTGCGGCGGACCGTGTCCACCGCCGCCTCCTTGATCCTCAGCCCGACCATGATGATCCTCTCCACGCTAGCCACCGGATCGGCCATGGATATATCGATGCGGCGTAGCGCCGTAGCTAGTAGGGTGCATGCAGCAGAATCATCGACTAATTGTGCTCACACCTGCAGACCTACTCCATCGATTGCTAGCTAGTAGCTTGCCGGCCTTCGCTTAGGCTGGGCAGCTAGCAAGCATCTTGCTTTTGCTGACTCTCTCGATCCTCCGAGTGCTGGGTATGAGTTGAATTTGACTACCTAAATGAGTACACTTGTCATGCATTTTGCCAGAAGGGACGAACCGTAGACTTGCGGTCGTCGTGTTAGAGTCCACTGGCCTGGTCTCTATAAGACGTGTGGAAAAACCATGCCATGGTTGTGGAGGCCGCGCGTGTCAGGGACCCATGCTTTCCTGGCGAACAAGACGGCCACGATTTTGCTGCATAATAAAGGGACGGCCCACTTGGATTCAATGGTATTTCTAGAATACCCAATTTTTGGTGAAAAAATGTAATACCCAATTTTTTGGTGAAAAAATGTATATAGTGTCCGGGCTTGCTAGCGTCCGGACGTCCAGATGGACGGGGCATCCGGATGTCCTCGCCTGCAGCCGTTTCGCACGCCCACATGGGGCCCACGCCGCAGAAAGTTCGAATTTAGCAGGGGTCGAAATGGAATAAAAAATATGGAAATAGTCATAATACATAACAAAAAAGAAAAAAAGGAGGAAGGAGGAGGAGACACCAAGGCGGGACAACAGAAAGCGAGGAGAAAGATATAATATCCGATGTACTTTTGAAATATTGCAAAACTACTTGCAAAACATGAAACACTTGAAACATGCATCTGAAACACTTGCAAAAACACATGAGAAAAACACGGAAAAACCATTGCAAAACCTATGCAACATCCAGATAAAACACTTACAACATATATGTGAAACATATGCAACATACAAATAAACACACTTGTAACATGTGTCTGGAAAAAACAGACGAAACATTGCGAAAAGAAGCTTGCAACATACGTGTACAACCATTGCAACATATGCAACATCCCGATCTACTTTTGTAACATCCAAATGAAACACTTGTAACATACCTTTGAAACATCTGAAACACTTAAAACATACACATGCAACATGTGCTTTTAGCATAATGTCACCTTGCTACTTGGACGAATGGACGCTTGTCGTTACGGAGCTCGATGCCAGCGTGGAGGTCAGTGACGGTGCATGGAGCTCGCCAGTGCAGTAGCGGCGCGACCCTCCTACGATTCTCCAATGCCTGCTCGCGGCCTAGGCTCGTGCTGATCAGCGCGGCCCTGTTGCTGCTACTCCAGCGCCGCTGCTCGCTCGACCGCAGTCGTCCATTGCCATCCGCTCGCAGGGGATGGGGCGCGGCGCAGCCGGCGATGGGGTGCAGCGTGGTGAGGGGAAGGGCACGGCGCAACGCCGCAATGGGGACGGGGCGCGGTGGGGGAAGGGGGCGCATCGGGCAAACGGATGAGCGGCCCGGAAATGCTCAGCCACGCCGCGACGAGCGGATGAGCGGAGTGGGGAAATTTTCTCTTTTTTTGAGAGGCCAGTCCGCTGCGCAGGAGTCAGGACTAGGAGCCGTGTCCAACGGGATGGACGCCGGTGGCCGAGCGTTTCCATATAGTGTATGCATGTATATTATTTGAAAAAAAGAGAGGAAATGAAGCTAAAAAAGAACTCCTGTGAGGCTACGAATAATTCAGCCCAAAATCGTACATTCTTGGACCCATTTCCCACCCCACCCAAGGGCCCAACAAGGCCCATCTCCCCCACCTTCATTTGACCAGAGGGATACTGTTGGTCATCAGAATATCATCCCCTTAGCTTGCGCATACACCTACCTACTTGTTCAGGTCCTTTTTGTCCACAACACAAAGGTCATCTACTGTTTTCGTGACCTTTGTGCAATGACTATGGAAAAAATACGCTTGGTGCAATTCCAAGCTATGCATCTCCCATGAATAAGGTTTAAGGGCCTGTTTGGTAGGGATTCACTATGGAAAAAGTAAATCTGAATCTGGGATTCACCGTGGATTAGATCCACGGTGGAACCGTTTGGCAAACACAGCAGCTCCAGATCCACACAAGGGCAATTTGGTTGGAATTGCCTAATTTCCCCTTGGGATAGGCCCCACGTGTCAGTGTCTCTGGTCCTTTCTTCCTTCTCCGACCAAATTGAGCGAAGAAAAAAAACTACGGGCATGACCCTAGCCGGTGCAGCCACGGCGGGCGGGGCTCCGGCCGGGCGCAGCCACAGCACCGCCGACTCGCAAGGGGCGAGCGCGGGTCCTGGGACGACGCAGCCGGCCATGGCGGCCTCTACTGCGGCCGCCAAGGGCTCGTGGCCTCATAGGGCAAGGCGCGTGCGGGACCCACGGCTCCGGCGGTCGGCAGCGCGGTGAGGGGCGCGAGACGTGCGCATGAGGGTGGGGGAGGTAGAGGGGGAGCTCCCCGCGGTGGACGGGCGACGGCTTCCTTGCCGCCGGGGCGACTCCGCAAGGCGGGGCAGCAGCGGCGGGGCCGGGCACAGGGACGGACAGGGAAGAAGACTCGAAGGGAAGACGCGGAAGAAAAAAAGAACGAATCGTTTTCTGTGTAATGAGTGGTAGGTAATTTCTCCCAAATCCACCAAACTCAGTTTGGTGGAGTACCCCCTGAGGAGATCCACTAAAATGGTGAATCTAGCTGTGGCAGAACCGTCTAATCTAATGCCTCCCAGGAGTACTTATCTTCCATTAGACATTAAGTACTCAAGGGAGGACACTGAATTACGCGGTTCCATCGAGCACACCCCAAGAGAGAACTCGAAAATCTATATTTTTCCATTAGGATCACAAATGAGAGAATAAAGCTTACAACATTATTAACCATTTCTTACATCACTTTTAATACAACATCAGAGTTATGAACAATTTAATTTAACAGCGGAATATAAACATGTGATCAGAGTTACAGCGGAAATAAATATATATTCATGACATGATGAAGCATTGATATATAAACTATGACAACAGATTATAAAACTTCCATTTATAAAACATTTAGCTAGAGTTATAAATAAAAACTATGATCGCAGCGTAAAGGAATCCTCTCTGAGCCCACCAGGAGGAATCCACACCCAAGAGTCAGCTCTAGCATCCGCCAGTCACCTGCAACAGGGGAAAATAAAACCCTGAGTACTCAATTGTACTCAGCAAGACTTACCCGACAGGAGAAAAGAAAAGACTCCAAGGATATGTAAGGCTATCTGGCTTCTGGGTTTATTGCATCTGCAGGAAGCATTACTAAGCGTGCGTCCTTATATTCAATTTTATTAGCAATCATCATTAGTTCATTAACTAACCATTCTATGTAAGCACCTGTACTACTTTCAAGCAGGTGGTAAGCAATCAGAACCAGTTTTACACCTTTCATATTCCAGTTCTTACTATGATGCTAGATTGTAGACAAGTCATACCGGATCACCCGGCGATTCGTGAACCAATGTATCTCAGCTGGGTACTTTGAAACACATGCTCCGCTTGTATCCCAAGCACAAGCAAGACCAACCCACTACCCTCCTATCATGGGGTCTAGGTTCCCATCTAAACTTGGACTCCATGCCCCCGCTCCTGAGTCCTGGACTCAATACGGTGCTTAGACCTCCGCCATCCGTGCATCCAATCAATCTTCCCAAAAAAACTAGAACCCATGACAAGAGAGCAATGAGTCTTCCCGCACCCATACACAAGTATGTGTTCAGGATAATAAGCCTGTGACCTGCCTAGAACCCAATGCAACGGCCAGTCCTTAACCGACACAGGCGGAACAAATGCAATCCGAGCCTCGCTCGAATGCCAAACCAAGTCTAGATCCAAAGTACCATTCCACCCGATCTTCAATTATCATTCATATATATTCCAGGTGATAATACTATAGTAACAACAATAATATATTTCCTATCTCTCGCGAGTGACAGGCAATCACTCGACTTCTATCGGAGTTCTGTAGCATAGCAATCTACATGATCATGTCATACTAGTAAGACTCATAGGATAAAGATATATATATATATATATATATATATATGCAAATGGGTTTCATTCAACTCCTTAAAACTTAATGCACAAACATAATATAAAGTGCAGAAAAGTAGGGGTTATGCACCGGGGCTTGCCTGGGTAACATATAACCAAAAGTTAGTTTTCCATCTTTGTGACCTGATCCCTGGCACCACCTTTTCAGCTACTCCATTTGATACCATCGATCCACCGTCGTTCCTATTATAATATGTATTGATGCAAATGCAGAGATGACGCAATCAATCAACAGGCAACAACAATTCTTAAAATACGAGTGCACAAATCAAGCTAACAAGCCAACTCTAATGACTAATATATTAGCTAAGTTTTAACTTCACTAAACAAAGCATCATTTTCATCAACAAGTACTACTTCTTACCAAATCAAGTCTCTTTTTGATTTATTAATGATTTAATATACTCGAAACTAGGGCACATTAACTACTCTAGTAAACTAATTATTATTGGGATACAAAAATTACAGAGAACACCTGATAACACTTCTAAACTACTGTAAAAATTTTAGAGCTAACACTATCACTGATTTATCACGGAAATTCCTACAATTTTATGTCTTTACCATATTAAGTATGTTAAAATAATTAGAGCAACCCTAAAAACCTACAGGACCTATGCGAACAAAATACACTATCAGATAGATCATGATTTTAGAAACTTAACAAAATTGGTTTGGTATTTTTGTGATTTTTCTACACTTTTTGGCGGATTTAGAAGTTTCTGCAAATAAGAAAAATGAAAATGAAATTTCCTCCAGGCACAGGGCTACGCGGCCAGCCCGCAGCCGCGGCGGCCCACGCGGACGCGCGGCCAAGGTGTGGGCGGGGCTCACGCGCGGCCACATGCCATGGCCCACAGCGTGGCGAGCGTTGCCCAACGCGGCGCAGCGTGAGCGGCCTAGGCGGGGCAGGCGGCTACCCAGCAGCCGAAAGCGGC